GGTGGGCCGGTACTCTCACTGTGCCCCAGGTGGACCGGTACTCTCACTGTGCCCCAGGTGGACCGGTACTCTCACTGTGCCCTAGGTTAAGTAACATCTGAGTCAAATTAGATTTTGCTCTCTGTTCATTGTATGAAGGCAGATTGCAGCTTGGTTACAATGGAGTTTGAATTAGCCCAGTGTTTATTATAATGTTATCTGTCTTTAACAGGATGTTCACTGTTTAAACGTCTGTTGGCAGGAGGAGGAGCAGTGTGTGCATGGCTGAAGACCGCCCCTGGGAACTGCTGAATAGTCTGGCAAAGCAGACACCCGGCAGGCGCGTCTCGGGGGACAGATGCTGGGTGCAGGGCAAATAGCTCCTTGGGGCGGAGGCTGGCGGGCTCTGAGCCTCAGAGGGGGAAGACATCAGGTGCCTAGGCTTACTTAATGAAAACTTAAAAGACTCTACTTAATTGCTCCAAGATTATGCAGGGTGCTTTCTCCTTCTTTTAGGCTGAGCTTGTTAATTTCTACAGCTGTGATGTTGGCACAATTGCAGCCCCGAGTCCTGTTTTCACAACTTGTAAGCAAAATTAAAGTTTCCCTTTTTAATTAAAATTCAAACCAAGCTAGAGTTAACATCTTATTGCAGAGCAGAGGCCTAGGAAGGCCCCTTAGAAACACCTGCTGCGAAGGCAGGCTGGACAAACTCTCCACAGTGCACCTGCATGGGGGCTGGGGAGGGCCAGTTCAGCTTAGGGTAGTTCAACCTCTTTCCCAGTGTGAATAAGTTCGGGGACGGTGGGAGGGGAGCGGGAGAGGGGTGTAGGGAGGGTGCAAGTTCACGATGTCCCTTTCTTACCGGCTTTGGCCAACAGTTAACTCTGGGAGCGCCTTTCCCAAGAAGAGCGGTAGTAGCAGCCATAGCAACACCTCCAGACTCTAGTCCGCAGGATCAACATGGAACATCTCACACCCCAACCCTCTCTCGCGTGTGGTGATGACTCAGAATTTCTCTATTAAGAGAGATGCTGAGGCTGCACCCAGGGCCAGAGGAAAAGAGTCAGGTGCTCAATGACAATGCCCACTGTGGCTGAGAAGGATGGAGGGGAACAGGAGTCACAGGCACCACATGGACCCCCTGGTCCTTTGCCCCACCTCCAAAAGACTGGAGCTTACTCTTCCATTTGCTCCAGCGAGTCCGTGGAGGAAATGCTAAGCCTGCACTAGAGAAGGGGAAAGATGGCAGCGCCAACGTTCTGAATGGTGATAATGCTCCGCTCCGGGCACTTACCTGGATATTGTCTAAAAAAACCCTTTGCACTTCCAAAGTACTGCCAGATGAGAGATGGGTCTCGGTCAAAGTTATCTACAAAAACTTTGTTCAGGGATTCAGACCAGTAAACTCCATTGACAATCGCAGGGTCTGGGGGGAAAAAAAGAAGGAAAAAGAGTCGTGTTACACACCAAAATGAAAGGAAGCCAAAGCAGCCGGCATTGCACCTGCTCAGCAGGTATCAGCAGGAGGGCCACCTGGAAGGAGGCTCTAAAGCAGTGGTTCTCAGCCTTGCTCATGCCGTGACCCTTTCATAGTTTCTCATGTTGTAGTGCCCGACCCCCAACCATAACATTATTTTCCTTGCTACTTCATCACTGTCATTTTGCTACTGTTATGAATCGGGCAATCCCTGTGAAAGGGTGGTTCAAGGGGTCGCGACCCACAGGTTGAGAATCACTGCTCTAAAGGAAGCCACAGCAGTCTCCACCGACAGTTCTGTATTTGAAAGGCACCGATCTCCCTTTGCGTCTGTGACAGCCCACTCTGATGAGCCTATTTGGAAACGATGCCACACTAAATAGCACGCCTTATTTACAAACAATATTGTCATGTGTTCTGGGTTGGTGAGAGTTTACACAACATGTTAGGTTCACCTATCACAATTTTCAAACAAAGTGACATTTGTTCTACATCCTATACTCTGTCGACATTCTCCCTGTGGTTCCTTTCCCAGCACTCTTGAATCCCGGCCTGCTGTCTTCTCATGTGGGGTTTTGGATTGTATATTGACCTTTTGAACTCGTGGCAGATGCTTCTTCATAAAGCATTGATCTAAGCAGAAATGCACTTAATCTCTTACACACCATCATTCTACTTTTCTAGGAAAAGGTGGTCTCTTGGGGTAGTTTGGACTCAGTGTTTGAAGAGTGTCACAGGGGATAATCTCAAGTAGTCCTCGGGTATCTGTGACCCAGTGAGTCTGACCATTTTTAAGAACTTAACTTTTGTTCTTCACTTTTCTCCCATCCTAACCAGGATCAGCTGTTGAGTCCCAAGACAGGAGGGTCAGTGCTGGTCAGAGAGCACCATCTAGTTGTGGCCGTAAGACAGCTGGGGCTGTGGTTCTTAGAGAATATCAACCTTGTAGACTTGGTTTCTTCTCTGTGAGTTTGGTTACTGTAGAACTCCTTTGTTCCTGATGCAGAGACCAAGAGTTGCGTCTTCGATGAACGTATGTGCCTGCCTGTTTTTGCTGCACTCATTTCTGACTCCGAGCGACGCTGTGTACAACAGAAGGAAACACTGCTCGGCCCTATGCCGTCCTCACAACTGTTCTTCGGGTTGACCCACTGTTGCAGCCACTGTGTCTGTCCACCTTACTCAGGACCTTCCTCCCGTGAAGTGGCCCCCCAACTTTACCCAGCAGGCCCTTCTCCAGGCCCGCATCCCTCCTGGCAACGTGTCCAGAGTACACGAGATGAGGTCTCCATGTCCTGCCCTCTAAGGGGCGCTCTGGCTCTCATTCTTCCCGGGCAGATTCGCTTCTTCTGTTGGCAGTCCGGGGTGCTTTCGGGAGACTTCACCAGCACCGTCACTCACATGCACAGACTCTTCTTTGGTCTTCCCTATTCCATGCGAAACAGACATCAGAGGCGATTAAAAAGACCATGGCTTACGTCAGGAGCAACTTAGCCCTCAGCGTGACCTCCTTGCTTTTTAACCATTTAAAGAGGTCTCGTGCAGATTTACCTAATGCAAAGCATCATTTAATCTCTTAACAGACTGCCATGATCATTGATTTGCGCTCCAGCAAGACAAAATCCTTAACAACTCCAACCTTTTCTTCATTTCTTGTGATGTTACCTAATTAGTCCGGTGGCAAGAAGCTTGGTCTTCTTTACATTGAATTGTGGTCCAGACTGAAGGCTGCAACCTTTGATTTCATCAACAAGGGCTGCAAGTCATCCTTACTTTCAGCCAGTTGTGTTATATGCACATCACTGGCTGTTAATAAACCTTCCTCCAACCCTGATGCCACATTCATTTTCATACAATCCCGTTTCTCTGATGATTCCCTTAACAGACAAATTACACAATTACTCAGTGAGAGCACACAAGCCTGATGCACAGCCTACCTGAAGTGAAACCATGCAACATGCCCTGGCTCTGCTGGGCCAGCTGCCATCTACGTGATCTAGATCCACCAGAGCTCCCAGAATCCACTGAAGTAAGAGACTTGGCTGGTTGGGTTGCCTTGGGGCCTGGGAACTTGCTGTGGGGCGAGAAGCAGTGCTCTCCCAGAAGCGGCTTGTGCCACTGACCAACGGTCAAGGCGACCCTGTCAGCAAGTGTTCCTGTTCTCCCGCTTTAAGAGAACTGGGTGAGATTCGAGTCGAAGTCGTGTTGCCGGGAAGTGCAGGGGGGGGGGGGGGGGGGGGGGGGGGGGGGGGGGGGGTTGTCCATGGTTTTCCTAGATGCACTTCTATTTCACGTATGCTTTTCAAAAGTCTCTGTTAGCAAGTCACATCAGGAGTCTCACCTAGTGAAAGGAGTTGACGGCACCCTCCTAGCTGTAGGAAACCAAGGAAAGGTTTTCATGCCTGCATTTTCATTTGAAGAGATCACCCTTCCTCCTGAGCTCTGCCATTGGGTCTGCTCTACCGGACTAAATTAGATTCAAATCGTGTTTACTAATGTCTACTCTGTGCGGCAATGCCCAACAATCCAGCTTAGTGACCTGAAAAACAGGGCAGCATGGTCATTTCTCCCAGTGTTCCTGTCCATTCCATGTCAACTTTTCCTTCATGTTAGTCAGTATGAAGAACTGGAATATTAAGCACTGCCTCCCGCCTTCTTGACCTGCTGGGGAGAAGAAATTCCCTCTCATGCCAGTCAAGAATTCCTCACATGGGCAGCTTTTAGAGAAACAGACTCCGAGCAGATGCTTGGAGAGTAAGAGTCCCACACCACCTCTGCAATAAAGTTGTAGTTTTTATGTGCAGAGCAGCCCATACATCCCTGATCTGTCTTTGCAATGCATCTTGGAGACCGAAAACAAATCACTTTTGTAGTTCAGTCCTTTATTCTGCCCAGGTGGCTGTTCTCTCCAGGGCTCTGCCTTCAGGCGGGCACTCAGCTGCCTGGAAAGATTTGTGGTGCAGATGGCTGAGACCATCTCCGCAATCCCTCCGCTCAGTCCCGGCCCTCCCACGCCGGCTCCTTTCAGTGCTGTGTAAAGCAGGCAGCCCTTCCTACCCTCTCACTCCCTTCGTGCTGAGGAAATGCGCTCAGGTGACAGTGCGTTCTCCTGGGTCTCCCTGAGGTGAGCAGCCACCTGGGTTCAAGTAAATGAGGGATACAAACCACTTAGCACAGGAACTGGCACATACGAAAGGCCGCAGACGCCCCCACTCTGTCAGTTCCCTGCACTGTGGCACCTGCACGCTCACATGATGGTGAGTCATGCCATGTATTTCATATATCAATAAGGTCAATCATGGCGAACAGGTTTCAGAGAAATTTCCAGATTAAAATGGTCTAAGAAGAAGGTAGGTCTACTTCTAAAAGTTAGCCAATCAAAAAATCCCTATGAAGCCTAACCAATATTGTCTGGTATAATGCTGGAGACTAAGCTGCTAGGTTAAAAGTCACTCAGAATGCACAGTGGCGGCAGCACTAAAATCTAGCTTCCTTGTGATCATGGAAAGGAAGCCAGACCAGGGAAGACTTTATCTTGCTGTATGTGGGGTTGCCATGGGTCAACCCAAAGGAAACTAATGACGATGCTGTCCAATCCAAAGGAGCTGTGACCGACCCCACACATTAACAAATAACAACTTTGGGCCCCCAGAAGAGCTCCCAACACCCACTCCTGCTTTCTGAACACAGGATGGTAATCAACACCCTGCTCGTGCAGCTCTGGAGGCTCCATATATGCTCGAGGACCAATGCCTAGTCCCAGCGCCGTGGGGAGCCCCGAGACCCCCACCCAAGGAAACTCAGCTGTGTGTCCACTAACAGATACTGTTCTACCTCGGCCTCTTCCTCCCTTCTTCTAATTCACAGGGAAAAGAATTTGCGATGATTGTGCTATGCATTTATTCATTCAACCAGTATTTATTGATCATGCCTATCATAGTAGACATTCAGTAGTGAAAGAGACAGTGATGCTGACACTTCAGTCTGAGGAAGAGAGAAACAAAGGGCCAATAAACGAGAATGTCCAACAAGCATAGGTGTGATGAAGAACATAAAAAGGGATCCTGGGAAAGAGATCTCCCATCTGTGGCTGTGCTGTGGCAAGGGGTAGGTGGGTGGGAGATGTTACTTAAACGGGGTGATTGGAAATGATCTCAGAGAGGAGTCCAAACAGGAAAAATAATTCAGTGCCATGTGAAAGCAGGGCTGGCTGGCAATCTACACCACGGAAGCCCAGCCATCACCACCCTCTCTGTCTCAGGTGGATGTACTGTGCTGGTCTGTGTACTGCTCTGATGCTGGAAACTATGCGACTATTAATTCAAATGCCAGCAGGGTAACAAATCACGAGCAGATTTCAGTAGCACTTCCAGATGAAGACAGACGACAAAGAATAGCGAAAAACCTGACCCACGGCAGCAGACTACTGTGAAATGTACAGCCCAAAGCCGAGCCCTCAGGTTGGAAGCCACTCAAAATACGACTGAGGCAGAGCTTACTCCCCAAAGTGGAACTGACTTTATGGACTTGGAGGGAGTCGAGGTTTGGGACCTTCAGTAGCTGATTAAGTTTGCCTCAAAATGAGAAGAAATGGCTTGGAATAAATATTCAAAATTTAAAAGTGGACTGCACAAAGGATGTTGAATATAGGAAAATTAGACATTATCCAAAGTGAGATGGGGCACATAAAGATGGAGCTGCTCCAGCATTAGAGAGCTAAAGCAGAGTAGCACTGGCCATCGAAAGTCCAATCAGACAGCTTGCTGTGCTGGGAATGACAAACTCACGAGGACTGGCATTACATTCACCATCAAAAAGAACATGCCATGCTCTGCCTTGAGGCGCAATGCTGTCTGTACAGATCAAGAGAAAGACATAGAGAGTTGGACATAGGCATAGAGACAGAGATACTGTATATGCTCGAGTATAAGCCAACCCGAGTATCAGCG